TGACGACACCTGGGTTAAAATTAAATCTCAGGAAGTCCAACATTTTACTGACCACATCAACTCTGTGGATAAATACATCAAGTTCACACAAGAAGATGAAAAAAAGGCAAGTTGGCTTTCTTGGACTGTGAGGTCTCAGTCTCTGATAGAGGACATTTGCAAACCGAGGTGTACCGCAAACCCACCCACACAGACCAGTATTTGCAGTTTGACTCCCATCACCCTTTGGAGCACAAGTTATGAGTCATCAGGACTCTGTATCACAGAGCAGACAGCGTCCCCACTAGCTCAGGAGCCAGGCAGAAGGAGAAATCCCACAAAAGACAGGCTCTAGAGCAATGTGGATATCCTAACTGGGCCGTCCTGAAAGCAGAGAAGAAACCCAAACAGGACTCCAGTCAGCCATCAGGTGAAAAGGAGGAACCCAGACCCAGACCAGTGGTCATTCCATATGTTGAAGGAGTATCAGAGAAACTGAGACGTTTATTTTCTAAACATAACGTCCCAGTGGCTTTTAAACCCCAAAATACATTACGGCAAAAACTGGTTCATCCCAAAGATCCAGTCCCCCGGCAAAAACAGAGTAATGTTGTGTATGCTGTTCAGTGTCAGGAGGGCTGTGATCAGTCTTACATCGGGGAAACTAAACAGCCACTGGCCAAAAGGATGGCCCAGCACAGAAGATCAACATCATCAGGCCAGGACTCTGCGGTCTACACTCATCTCCAGGCCAGCGGTCACTCTTTCAAGGATGAAGATGTGCACATCCTGGATAGAGAGGAACGATGGTTTGAGAGAGGAGTAAAGGAGGCCATCTTTGTGAAAAGAAATCGTCCATCATTAAACAGGGGTGGAGGCCTCCGGGTTCAACTGTCCCCCTCTTACAATGCTGTGATTGCTAGTATCACTCAGCCCTCTGTGAACAGTACACAGCCATCAGTGTGCTAATGATCCATTGTTAGGCTGATGGTCCTTCTTGAGCATGTGATCAGCTGGTTTTGGTTGTCAGCAGCAAAACTGGTTGATCCACTCTGAGAAGGTGCTATTTAAGAGACTGAGCTGAATACAGCACCTCAGACTGAGGAAGTCTCTCGGATGAGAGACGAAACGTTTCTAGATTTTTTTTACTTTGCTTTGTTTTGTTTTTTGTTTTTTTGAATGTCCAGAGGACCAGATTGAACTTTTTTGCATATTTCTCTAACATTTGTTACATTTTCAAAACTTAACCTAATATGAAATATACAGACTTCAGTCTTAACCATATTGATTCATATTTAGTAAATCTTTAACAAAATTTCAAAACCTGTGCAAGTTTGCACAAAATCTCTTCTGAACTATAATTTATAAACTTAAACTGTATCATTTAGAACTGACTCCAGGTGATGTGTCTCATCCGTCCTCTTCAATCTGTTAAAAAGACAAATTACATTAAGTTTGTTGAACAACTTGTTTATAAGTTTTAGTTTAATATGAGAAATAACAGTTTCCTTTGAGCTGCAGCTGCATCAGAGCTTCTCCCATCCATTGTTTCATGGTGAAGTTGTGGTGCTGCTTTATGGCAAAAAAAAATCTACATGAAGGAATAACGTATGTAGAATCCATCGTATTAAAAATAAACCTGAACCTCTCACCTTCCACTGAGCTGTCTGTTCATAAATCCTTTGTGATACAGCAGGAGATGGAGAGGGAACTCTTCACAGCCTTTGGAGAAGACTGGAAGTTTGTTGCAGAGTTCGCTGGTCGGCTGCTTCGCTTTCATCTTCCGTGAATTTTGTCGTATTTCCAAAATACTGTACCGCAATTTTATTTTACACTTCTTATAAACAACTATGCTCTTGTGAAGCTCTGTCTTCCCCCGGAACATTGTAGGATCTGAAATGATTTTTAAAGACGAAGAGACTGGTTGAATCGCGCTGTCTCCCTCCTCCATGCTAGCAGGCTCCATTCAGATAAAGGGAGCTGGCTAACTAGCTCTCTGTATGGTGGCCTAAACGGACGAAATTCTACGGCGGCTGAGCGGACATGTAATACGATATGCAATACGCTCGGGAGTAGGAGCGGAAAAAATATAAAACTTAAACGCATTTTAAAATTGATTTATGGGCCTTTAGAATCTATTCAGAATCGCCAGGACTAAGAATCTAGATTATTTTAAAAATCAATTTTTTTCTGCACCCCTACTGGTAACACATGGTTCATGGGCAGTTAACATTTTCTGCCATAGTTGTTAAAAATAGGGGTGCACCGATTGCAGTTTTCTGACCTATGACAGATTTCTAAAAAGTCTGACCTGCTGATTCCGATTTTGTTTTCTAAGCAACACTTGTCAGGTGTTATAAGGTCACATACACCTTCAATTTTCCAATATTTTATTGAAAAACATAGCCTTGAACAATATCCTAAAAGCAATACAGACTTGTTTTAACTGGCCACGAGATAGTGCTCTGAAATATAAATGAAGTTCAGACAATTGTTGTTTAAAACTACAAATAAATCGGTAAAATTGTTTTCTCGTGCAAGTATCGGCCGATTTGCAAAAATTAAGGAAATTGGGGCTGGTAAATCGGCCAATTTATCGGTGCACGCCTAGTTAAAAGCATCCATAAACCTTGACCAAAAATCCCCTGACAGCTGTAACATAAAATGTGGACAAAGCCAAGTGCTGTAAATATTTTCTGGATGCACTGTTTAGCTCGCTCTATAAAATTGATAGACAGCTGCTGCTGATCATAACTTAATAACACTTTTCGTGCCTGTTGATGCTGGTAAGACGTTTTCATCAGTGATCAATATTTAAACTAGAGCCCGATCAATATGAAAATTTTAGCAATCACTGCTACCGATATTGCGAGGGAAATGCTATTGATAACTGATGTAATGGCTGATAATTTCTTAGCTTTGTCCACCACCAAGAATCTTAAGTAAACGGCTACTTTTAAACCCATTAAAACACTTGTGAAAATAAGAATGTGTTAATGTGTTATGTTTTGGAAATACTTGTCAAAAGTACAGTTCTTGCGTACAAACTGAAAAAGAACATTAACAATGTAACATTAATCTAAAAAAGTTAAATCTGGTCCTCTGGACATTCAAAAAAACAAAACAAAGCAAATCAACAAAAAAATGTAGAAACGTTTCGTCTCTCATCCGAGAGACTTCCTCAGTCTGAGGTGCTGTATTCAGCTCAGTCTCTTAAATAGCACCGTCTCAGAGTGGATCAACCAGTTTTGCTGCTGACAACCAAAACCAGCTGCTCGCATGCTCAAGAAGGACCATCAGCATAACAATGGATCATTAGCACACTGATGGCTGTTTACTATTCACAGAGGGCTGAGTGATACTAGCAATCACAGCATTGTAAGAGGGGGACAGTTGAACCCGGAGGCTCCACCCCTGTTTAATGATGGACGATTTCTCTTCACAAAGATGGCCTCCTTTACTCCTCTCTCAAACCATAGTTCCTCTCTATCCAGGATGTGAACATCTTCATCCCTGAAAGAGTGACCGCTGGCCTGGAGATGAGTGTAGACCGCAGAGTCCTGGCCTGATGATGTTCATCTTCTGTGCTGGGCCATCCTTTTGGCCAGTGGCTGTTTAGTTTCCCCGATGTAAGACTGATCACCCTCCTGACACTGAACAGAATACACAACATTGCTCTGTTTGTGCCGGGGGACTGGATCTTTGGGATGAACCAGTCTTTGCCGTAATGTATTTTGGGGTTTAAAAGCCACTGGGACGTTATGTTTAGAAAATAAACGTCTCAGTTTCTCTGATACTCCCTCAACATATGGAATGACCACTGGTCTGGGTCTGGGTTCCTCCTTTTCACCTGTTGGCTGACTGGAGTCCTGTTTGGCTTTCTTCTCTGGTTTCAGGAAGGCCCAGTTAGGATATCCACATTGCTCTAGAGCCTGTCTTGTGTG